CTCTCTCTCTCTCTCTCTCTCTCTCTCTCTCTCTCTCTCTCTCTCTCTCTCTCTCTCTCTCTCTCTCTCTCTCTCTCTCTCTCACACACCCACACACCCACACACACACACACAGTCTTGTATTTAAATTGTAATTGCTGTAATTAAGGGAGGAATAAGGGAGGAATGGAATGATTATTTCTGATTTTTGTTTCTTTTCTTTACTTTTCTTTTATAGTTTCTATTCTTTACGGCACAGTGAATGACATTTTTCATCATTGTATGGAATCCGTCACAAAATGGCCCTGCTCAAGGCCTCATAACCCGTCATTAGGTACCTCTCTATGCTGGACAGTGGACACCATTACACCACCACTCCATCCGGACCTATTTTGACAAACCAAAAGTTGCATTTCCCAAAGTCTAAGATCTGCAGTGCCGCCCTGAGGAGAAATGATTGTGTTACCATGCCTGGGCACTGTAGATTTCGGACCAGTACTTGTAGACCAAAAAAAATGACAGTGCACGGGCCATTGGAGTGGTGGTTTAAGAGCCTCAAAGCATACAACCAGTTCTTTTAAAGAAAGAACTCTTGCTTCACTCATGGTCGTACACTTGCACACATACATATATAATTTTCTGTCCTTTTTGGTATACCTTTTTCTACAATTCCAGGAAGCCCTATGCATAAGACCCCGGACAAGGCCTTTTAATCTCTTATTTGCTACCAGCCTACCGCACAAAAAACACTTGTTGCAGTGGCCAGATTTATTTACCTCTTAACCCCTGTTCAGATCAACCCACTAACCAAATTCGAATATTTAAGACCTCTGAAAAATCAATCTGAACCCTTGCGGCTTCATAAGACCTGTTCAAACGGCCACAGCCCGGACAAATATCAAAATAGCCTGGTCAGGCCAAGACAGCAAAAAATTCCAAAACACGACCCCATTATTTAAGTTCCCTGCTGCTTCGAATGCACTCGAACTCACTCAACATACATATACTGCTGGGCCGGCGCCCGGCCTGTTGGGCCCGGGGGTGTCCGCCCGGCAAAACCGGGCGACMCGAAAACACAGCAAGGAAATTTTTTTTTTTTTTTTGACGGCGGGGTTGTGCTGCACTACCCTAGAGGACCCCGAATCTGCAATAAAAATGTGAACTTCGGGGGTT